GCTGGGGTGGGGCCCTGGTTGTAAAGTGTAGCAGAAGGTTTGAGAGGAGACAATAGACTGGACTTCCTCCTTAGACGAAGGGTAGCTCTTGATGGTAGAAATGGCAGAGAAAGCTGGGTACACAGGGATCCTCATTGTCAGTAATCAGAAGGGTCTTTGTACACTATCTTCAAGAAAGGGTGAGAAAATGCGTATTGGTGAAGGGTGTGGATCAAATCTGGGGGCAGGTGTTTGCATAGATCTGTGCAGGTACTCCCCCCCCCCCACACACACACACTGTCTGCTGTGGGGGCGGGGGGTGCTCCATCTGGCTGGGCATCTTAGCCTCACCTGGCACCTTTCCTGAAAGCAGCAAGCTAATCCTGTAAGAGCTGCCTGGCTGGCCGCCTCAGCAGGCCCACGCAGCCGCACTGCCTGCCCTCCCTTGCCAGGGGCTTAGAGGACTGTCCTTCGAGTCAGAAGGAGATCCAGCTGCCACCCTGAGCGGCCCCTTTAAATCCTCGGTGGCTTCCCGTGGTCATGATGTCTCTAGGAGGATTTGCTCTCCCTGATTGGATTGGCCTCTTTGGGGTGGGGGAGCAGGTGGTAATAGTAGGTGAACACTTTGCATTCTGCTCCTCTACCTTCCCTTCTGTTGGAATTGGTGCTGTCCCATGTGTGAGGCCTCAGGCCCCTCCCTTCTCTCCTTGCTGTCCTGTCCCAGCAGTCAGGACATGCAATCCCTTCATCTGCTTCAGCCTGAGCAGCCTTGCCCCTGTTCTGTGGATGGTAAAAAAAGGATCCTGCTGCTTTAAACAAGGGAACAAACCACTGCCCTGGAGGAGAGTGCTCTTCTGAGTCTGTACTGCCTGCTTCTCTCCACTTTTTCCTCTTCAGCTTGCTCTTCCTTTGGCCAGGGGCCCACACATCATAGTTTTCCCAAGCCCTGATTTCCCTGGGCAGTCCCTCTCCTGATCTAACCATCAGCCCACCTGCTGCAACGGCAGGCAGCCCAGACCCAGCACTGGTGGCATTGTGCTCACCCCAACGGCTCTCAAGCTGACCCGCCCCCAAGGCCCCAGCTGCCACTTTCACTTCTGTCTCCTGAGACCCCAGAGGGAAGTTGGGTGGGGAGGTGGAAGGTGACACAGTAACCGTCCCAACCGCCCCACCTCCCCTCAGCCGAGACCTCGATGGCCAGGGGCCCCTGTCCACCGCTCTGATCCAGACGAGTGGAGTGAGCCTGGGTCGCAAGGGGAGGGTTGGCTGCGGTGGGAGGGGTGGTGGTTAGATAGCAGGAAGGACTTGCTGGGATAGGCGACCGCTGCTTGGCTTCATTGTTTCAGGGGCTATGGCTGGAAGCGCAGGTATTCTAACTGGACAGACAGAGGTCAGTTTGACCTCTTCAATGTAGGCAAGGGATCGGTTGTCTTCTAGCTCCCATGGTTGGACTGTAATGCTGTGGCCATCATCCCCGCCCAGGTGTTACCAGCTGCCCATGTTTGGTCGAGTAACGTCTAACAAAGCAAATTTTAGCCCCAGAGATGACTGTGAGTTCAAAGACAGCCCTGGAAAGTCCTCTCTGTAGTCTTAACATCTGTCTTGCACACTGTACTAGGCTGTTTCCTCTCACTTTGCACTCTTGAGAGTGGACTTTAGACATGGAGACAGAAATAGAAGTAAAGGACGAAAAAAATAATAATAATAAAATAAAATTTTAAAAAAAGAACCCCTATCCTACCACTGCCCCAACCTTGTCACTAAAGAGGGGACCAGGGCTTTTCTCCGGAGGAACCCCAGGCCGTTGTTGATCATGCTTTACCTCATGAATCTTATAAAATGCCTCTAGCTCCAGTGCTCAGTTGTTTCTCATAATTTCACCTTCTCCCCTCACATCCTTTTCTGGACAGGGGACCTCGACAAGAGTGGAGGACCCTGTTGGATTGAGAGCTCTAGACAGTACCACTGGATCAAATGAGGGATGTTTTCTGAAGCAGGATGAGATGGGAGATCTGAGGTGCCAAGAACTCCACTTAGGGTCCCTAAGTGCCTAGGGATGCTAGGTGGGGGTGTCCCAGGTCCTGGAATGGGAAGTAGATGTTGATGGAATAAGATCAAATACACTATGCAAATGCCCATGCAGATGAGAAGTAGTGAGTCATTACTGATCGGCCTGCTAGCTAGAGCATGAAGCAAGGCTCCAGCTCGGCTTCCAGAGCTGGCTGCCCTAATGACCATGACAGTGACCTTGGGTCAGTCACTGCTGTAACCAGAAGTAGGTCCCCAAGCCCTGGGTCGGATAGGCATTCTATGTGTGTGAGGGGATTTGTTTGGCAGAACCTCTGCCGCTGGTGCCTGTGTGCCCCGCCTGGCACCTGCCCTGACCTACCACGAGCCTCTGTCAAACCTTGGCCATCTGTTGTGGAGGTTATCGTTCCGAAAGCACCCCCTCTCCGTCAGGCCTGTGCCTTCTTTCTTCTGGCCTCCACGTTGCCCTCCCCTCCTAAGCTAGAGGACAGGGCACGTCACCGGGCCGTCTACTCTGTTACCTCTCTATGGTGTCACCAGAGTCCTGACCTCCGTTTCTTTGGGGCTCTATAAAGAGCATAGGAACAGAATGTCTATGCTGGAAGGGCACTAGGGTACCTGGTCCATGCCACCTACCCATTGTACTGGCCAGGGGAGGGGGGTGAACCCTGGAGGGGGCAGGGACTTGAACCCAAGCACCCAGAATCCCTCCCCAGAGTCCCGGTATTTCCCTGGGCTGTTCATTGCCCTTCCTCACCTGTCCCTTTTCTACTAGGACTCAATCTCCTGTTACTCCCCCCGCCCCAACTTATTTCTGAGGTCAGCAGCGTGGCTCCGGAACCTGTGGGGACTAGGGTGGGTCCTGGGAGCCAGCCCAGAGGCCACTAATGGAAGGCCAGAGCTGGGTGGGAAGAGCTGGAGGTTGGCGGTGGGGGTCAGCAGCTGCCTCTGTAGGGAGCCATTGGGCCTCTGAGCTGCTACAGGAAGGATGAGAGCTAGACTACAGGAAGGACAAGCTGGGGTGGGGAAGCAGTGGAGGAGGCTCAGGAGACAGACCCTCACGAGAGAGGCATCTCCTGGGCAGAGAACAGGATGACCCATCCCAGGAGACTTGCCAAGGAGAAGAGGGCGGGAAGCCTAGGGTGGGGCTCGGGAGAGTTGTCCAGCGGAAGCTGGAGGGAGGGCCCCTAGCCCTTTTCCCCACACCGGGTACTCCTCTTGGCAGGTCGATTCCTGTGCCTTCAACTGGGGCTGCAGTGCCTGCCTCCACTTAGGGCGCCTGGGACCTAAGACCCCCCCCCTTGCCCCATGTCCAGCTTTCTTGGACTGGTCCTTCTCTCCCTCCCCCCAGCCCGACAGCCCGCCCCCAGGTCCCCTGTCGGTGAGTTAAAATTAGCTCAGTGCCCAGACTAAAAATAGCCCCTGCCCAGCCCTGAGGCTGCTGGGCTGGGGGAGGGGAGTCCCCGAGGGAGGGGACGATGGTGGGAACCAGGGGTTTGGGGAGTGAGGCTGCCAAACAGTGCGTTGAAGGGAGGAGGAGGAGGATGGGGAGGGTCTGGCCTGTGCCTTTGAGAGCAGACCCTAGAACTCCAGGGCAAGTGCGTGGGAGGGGGAGCAGAGGGGGCAGAGAGAAAGGAGAGCAGAGAGGAGCCGGGGAGCTGTGGGTGGGGAGCTGGCTGGGCGTGTGAGAATTGGACTGTGCAGGGTCAGGACGAGGGGCCCTGCTTTGGCCCAGACTTTGAGGGGAGGGGAATGCCCCCAGCTCCAGGACTAGTACAGCGTTTGTGAAGAAAGGGCTCTGCATACCCCTGAGGCTGCAAACCCCAGGACTCCTGCCTGGGCCCCACCTCTCAGTGGTCCCTGAGCTCACCTGCCCACCCATCTTCCAGAGCCCCCACCCAGCCTGTGTCTGTGCTTAGAGAGAGTGGCTTGAAAGGTCGTGAGCCCTGGAGTGGGGCAGGAATGGAGGCAGTGCCCAGGGTGTTGAGAGGGCTCCTGGGCCTTACGCTTACCTCCACTCACCCACTCTGATGGCCTGCCTGCCCTCAAGCCTAGACCTCGCCAGAGCCCAGGAGCCGAGATGCTCTGTCCCAGGCCAGGTCTGGGCCCAGTCCTGGCCTGAAGGTCTCCCTGGTCTCCCTGCCCTGCCCTGCCCTTGTCTGTCCCTTGGCAGGACTGCAGGTTTTCGGGGCGGGGCTGGAGTCCTGTCGAGTTATGCCCCCGTGCCCAGCCTAGCATCAGGGCGCTGCAAGCAGTTGTTGAACCTGCCTCTTGTTCTCTGCCCACCTCTCTCTGAATCTTTGTCTCTGGTCTCCTGCCTCTCCCTCTCTCCTCTGGCTTCCTCTCTCTCCCTGTCCACCTCTGCCCCGCACTCTGCCTTCCTCTTGGACTCTACTTTTTCTGTGTCTCTTTTCCTGCGTCTGTGCGTCTGTCCCCCTTTGCCACCCCCCTCTGTGTCTGCCTCACCCACGCCTCCTCCCTTGTTAGTGAGCAGGCTGCTTGAGGCCGCCTGACTGTGGGGGTGACAGGTGGATTGGATTGTCACCCCCTCCCCCAGCGCCTGCTGCTTATTTCATGCCCTGCAGCCCAGCCACAGGGAAGGGGCGGGAGGAGGGATGACAGCTGTCTCCAGCGCCTCTTGCCTTCCCTTCCCGTCCACAGCCTGCAGCCCTGAGCAGCCTGGGAGGAAGGGATGAAGGGCCTGCTTAATGAGAGTTGCCTTTCTCACTGTGGAAGAGCAGGGGTTTGAAGCCCGTTGCTCTGTGACGGGGCTGCTCACTCAGCCTCTCTGGGCAGCTGCTCCGTTTTGACTTGCGCCAGTGTGGCAGCTCTGAAAGCAGATGCTCTGCAGTGCCTGGAGCCTCTGGGCCACTGGGACGGAGGATGGATCTGGGTGGAAGGGGAGCGGGGAGGTAGGTGGTCCCCTGACAGCAGCAGGAGAGAGGAGGTGGGGGTTACCTTTGGAGGCGCCTGTCCTGCAGCTCCCCCAGGAAGGGCAGCCCTGCTGCAACGGCAGCTCCAGCTCGGAGCGGCTGCCCTGACCGCTCCCCCCACTCCTCCAGCTGGCCCCAGGCCACCCTCACACAGGAACTGAGATAGCATCATTCTGAAACCCGAGAATGGTTTGACTATTGCTCAGGTACCAAGAGGTGTTACATTGGGGGAGGCAGGGGCCTGTTACTTCTCCCATGCCCCCTCCAAGACCCCCTTTAGGGTACACTTCATTTATTATTTACACCTCCTTTGCTTGTCAGTACAACCCACATGTTCCTGTTGAGTCTGTGGCCCAGCGGAGAAAACTGGCTGTCCGTGGGGTCCTCCTGGAACCCCACCCTGTCTGGTTCCCTCCCTCAGCCTCTCCTTCTTGTCACGAGTGTTGTGAGAGAAGCCTCCTGCCCTCTTTGCACCCCACTAGCAACGGCTTCCCTGCAGCCTCCCTTCTCCACAGTGGGTCCTCGCCTGCCTCCCTGGGGCTCAGCTCAGCTGCCATCCCCCTTGTGCTTCACTCCTTCTGTCTCTGTGGGGTGAGGCCCTCTCTCTGTCTGCTCCCACTTACTCCCCAGTCCTGTCCTCCCAGCACTACCCAGAGTAGGTGAATCAGAGTCAGCTGGAGCCTTTGAGGGGGGACTTTCAGTGACAGCGATGCTGCCAGCCCGAATCATAGCTGTGGCCTGAGGTCAGGACTGAGTGGGCCCTGGGGCCACTGGAGCAGAAAGACCATTCTGGACAACCCCCTGTCTCCATAGCAGCTTTCCACCCTCCCAAGCCTTTGGCTTCCAGGAGAAGCAGCCAAAAGCCAGGTTATCTGGGAGGGCTTCCTAGAGGAGGAGTGATTAGAGAGGGGAAGAGGAATGGGGCTGGGCGGGGCGAGGAGGAAAAGGTTCACATCTGGATAACAGATGCTCAGGCCTCTGGCTGCTGGCAGTTGGTTAGGTAATTAGGCAGAGGGCTAATTAAGGAGGTCCAGGTGTTCATTAAAATTTCCCTAATTGTCTAGCAGGGAAGCTTGGACAATGTAGGCCTCCATACCTTGGATAGGGTCAGTTTAGGGTTCATCGTGCCCACCCAGGCCCCAGCCAGCCCTTTTACCAAAGTAAAGGCTGAGTTCTTGTTCTTGCCCCCAAGCCTTCCAAGACTCTGCAGTAATGTAGAACGGCTGGATAGCAGAAGGGGAAAGAGGGGAGTACAGACTGAGCCTGCTTTCTCTGGGACGGCTCCTGGTTAGGAAGAAGGACTGCCCAAGGTAGGGGCAGCTTCTCCTTGGGCAGTGTTGGCACAGAGGTAGGAGTAGCGGTGGGGAAGGGGCCAGGGGAGCCTGGAGTTATAGAAAGTGCTTTGGGCTACCTTGGCAGGGACTGGGGGTAGGTGAGGCCTGGCCCTTTTAACCCTGACCTTCCTCTGTCAGCGGAGGCTCAGTGGGTCTCTGTGCCTTCCCTGTCTTCTCAGTCCTGATCCCTCTTGCATCCCAGCTCCCCCAGCATGAGGCGGGGGTGGGGGGGGGCGGTGTAGGAGATCAGCCAGAGAGCTGGTTGCCAGGCGACAGTTGCCTAAGCAACCCCATCCTCTCCATCTCCATGTGCTCAGGGCTGCTCCTTAGAAGACTTCAGAGTCTCACCCTCTGTACCCACCAACCTGAGGGTAGGGAGGGTTGAGGACTGAGGTGGCAGGGGTGGTTGGAGGGGAGATGGTGTCCAAACAGGCAGGCTATTGGTGCAGCTGGGAGAGGAAGAGTTATGTTTCCACAGAGCACAGAGTGAGGGGAGCTGGTCCTACAGCAGGACTAATGGAAGTGAGACCTCAGGAAGAACTTCTCACAGGGTCAATAAAACACCCCGCTCTTCCTTTCAACAGACATTTCTTGAGTTCATCTTCACAGGGGATAGAGGGGTGAAGAATACAGACGTAGTTCCTGCTCTCATAAAGCTTCAGTCCTATAGGGGAGCCAGGCATTAAACAGAAGCACGGAATTATGATTATTTACATTCATGGTAGGGTTCCCTGGTGGCTCAGCTGGTGAAGACTCCGCTCACAATGCGGGAGACCCCAGTTTGATCCCTGGGTCAAGATCCGCTGGAAAAGGGATAGGCTACCCACTGCAGCATTTTTGGGTGTCCCTGGTGGCTCAGCTGGTAAAGAATCTGGCTGCAATGGGAGAGACCTGGGTTCCATCCCTGGGTTGGGAAGATCCCCTGGAGAAGGAAAGGGCTCCCCACTCCAGTATTCTGGCCTGGAAAATTCCATGGACTGTACAGTCCATGGGGTCGCAAAGAGTTGTACACAACTGAGCGACTTTCACACACACACACATTCATGATAAGTGCTAGAAAGAAAAGATTAAAATACTGTGAGAGTCAGTAATTTTGGGAGGGCCTAAGGAAAGAAGTTAGATTGTAGGAGTGACTCTTCTGAGGATTATGAGAACAAAGAGAGCATGGGCCATAAGCTGAGAGTGGTTATATCTCAGCAAAAATTTGCTGATGAACAAAAGGTGGCAAGAATGAGGTAGTATAAAATAGGAGAGGGACAGAGGTAGATGCTATAAACCAGAGTAGGGTTATGGTGACTGCATTTACCAATCTAGATTGGGGTTTTCAAGGCTAGGCCAGAGAATCCTTTTTTAATAGCCCTCTTCTTGAAAAATTAAATTTTAAGAAAGCCCTTTCTTAGCCCTCCCTTGCCCTCAGTATTTCCTCCCCTCCTTCCCTGCCAAGCCCATACTACTGAAACTCTGGAAAATACAGCCTTTGGGTTGCACTGGAAGGCAGAGGAGCCGAAATCCTTGGAGTAGAGCCTTTACAGTGTTTGGCAGAGGTTGGGGTCACAGGCAAGGGATGGGATGGCTGGAGCTGGTTCTGGGTCCAGATGTCAGCTCAGCCAGCTCAGAGTTGACTGGGCTGTTGTTGGTGATGTCCTAGGGCATGCATGAAGGTGGACAGTAGAAGGTCCAGGGCCCATGGAGCACCCTGAGGGTAGGAAAGAAGGGAAACATGTTTGGGGATTTCTCCCTGGGAAGACAGAGGGAGGGGTGGAGGGTCCTTCCTGGAGTGGAGAGGGAGCTACATTGTTTTCCAGAGATACCTGGACTCAGCAGAAGTGCTCTTCCCAGCTAGCTGAGCAAGGGAAGGCCTGAGGGAAAGTCCTGGTAATGGGAGACAGTGGGGAGGGATATTCCTGGCTCCTTCCAAGTCCACAGAGTCCCTGCTGGCCCTCTCTGCTCCCCTCTATGGCCAAGGCGGAACTTCGGCATCTGCTGTGGAACCCAGTGGAGCACAGTTGAGTGGATATGTAAAGGCTCCAGAGAAACCCAGCAACCGCTGAAATGGGGGCTGGGGAGGGGGTTCCAGTGACACCTCTGTCTGGGTTGGGTGGGGGAGGTGAGAGCCCACCCCCCTGGACACTGGTGGCTCTCCCGCAGGGACTCTGCAGAAGGGGAACTCTGGAGGAGGGCTGGCATGTGGCCGGGACTCCTCCCAGGACCCTTTCAGAGTGGCTTTCTTTAGGAGGCATGGGCCCCCTGCCACCGTCCCCCACTATTCCATCTCTGGAATCACAGAGCTGGCAGGGCTCTGGGGTCATCTTGTGCCTCCATCTGGGCCCTTCCTGTCCCCTCCGCACCACCCCCCCCCACCGGCCTATTAGAGTGCTGTCCACCCTTGAGCATGCACCTTTTCTGGCTCGAGCATGGCTGTCATCTCTGTGCCTCCTTCCATCCCGTTACCTCATGTTGCTCAGTGTGGGGCTCCGTTTCCCTTCCTGGCTCTGGAGTTGGAGCTCTTCAGGCAGTGGGCCGTGCTGGGTTTACAGGTGGGCTGAGACGGGGATCCCTCCAGCCGGTGCCTGTGTCCCACTGGCTGCCAGCAGCCTCTTTCCTGTATGGCACTGATCTTTCATTTTCTCTGCTGCTCCGAGTTGAGCAAGGTTGGGGGGGCACTGCTCTCAGTCTGAACTTGGGTTCTAGACATGGCCCATTCCTCTAGAGCAGGAGTGTGCAAACTATGACCCATGGGCCAAATCTGCCCATGCCGCCTGTTCTTAAAAATCTAGTTTTATTGGGGGCACAGCCACACTCATTCCTTTAATTGTGTTGTCCACAACTGCATTCACGCTGCAATGGCAGAGTTGAGTCATCTCAGTGGAGACTGTATGGCCTGCGAAGCATGAGATACTTACGATTTAGCTTTTTAAAGAAAAAATTCACAGACCTCTGGTCTAGAGGGTTTGTTTGTTTAAAGCAGCAGAATCCTTTCTTCAAGCCTGAAATTTAGGCCAAGGCTCACTGAGTAGAACAGATTGGTGTCCAGGAGCCCTGGTTGAAGGGAGATAGGGCTCCAGGCTCCAGGGCTCTGAGTCAGGTGTGAGGACCACTGCTCTGGACCTGCACTGTTATGTTCTTGAGCCAGCGGCCCAGACACACTGGCATTCTGGTAGCAGGTACCCCATGTGAGCTGTTCACACTCTTGCATGTGTTCATTTGGCCTATTCTCTGCACCAGGCTCCATCTGGGAACCTCTATCCTTCGCCAGTGGGGCAGCCGGGGAGCCCAGAGTGTCTCTGCTCTGGGTGAGCTCTGGGAAGAAAGGAGGGCCTGAGGCATTCTCTTAAGACCCAGACCCGTAGAAGTCAGGGAGCTTTCTGATTGTATTCTGTCTGACCTAAAACCTGAGGGCAGCAGTGATGGTGTGGGTAAAGCCTTTAGCAGAGTCCTGGGCCTGAGTGAATTCTAGCTTGTGCTTGGCTGTGGCATGCCATCGCCTCAGGTTGCCACCATTTCCTCGGTTTGTGGATGGGGCTCAGATGCTGGCAGCCTCTCACAGGGGTGTTGTGAACCTGGCCAGTGTGCCTGAGGAGCTGGGCTGTGAGCCTCGCTGGTGTGCCCAGGGAACTGGGCTGCGAGTTGCCACGGCTGACAGTCTTCTTGTAACCCTCCCCACCCAGGAGGCTGTGCAGAAGGTGTCCTGCAGACCATGAACTGAGCGCTGGTCCAAGACTGTTCATGAGCACAGTGTAAGGTGTGCCGAGATCCGCCACCCAGCAATCCCCTCCCTTTCCTGGCACTGAGGATCCCCAGAAAAGATGGGGAGGAAAAAGATTCAGATCCAGCGAATCACCGATGAGCGGAACCGACAGGTGAGGGGATCCTGGAGCCCCACAGAATGGTTGTGGGGGGAGCTGACCTCTGCCTCCACTCCTTCTAGCTACTCTAAGAAGGCTTCCTGGAATAAGAGGGCTCTGGAATCTATTATCGGAGGGCAAGGGCTGAGTTGGGAGAAGAGGAACCCCCATCACCCTGCATCTCTTAGAATCTTGGGTCCTAGAACCCTAGGACTCACCTGCTGCTGCGGCCAGACAGACCTGTGTCCCTCCCATATTCATCGTGCAGGCCTCAGAACATGCCCAGGCACTTCCCCTTTCACAGGATGAATCCCTCCCTCCTCCTATCCCAAGGGAAGAGCCTGGAAGCCCTTGTCTTCTCCTTCCCTAATCTCTTCATAGCCTCCAGCCCAGAGGTGTGGAGTTCTGTCCATCTGAATTCTCTGCCTTCAGTGAATTGGCTCCGGGCTATGTCTTGGCCATGTGTTGGTGGAGAGGTGCTGACCTGTTCCTTCCCCAGACACGGGCTCCTAAGAACAGGGCTGTGTTACCCTGAGGCAGGGGCTCTGTCCAGCTGCCTGTGGGTGGGACTTCTGGGCAGCCCTTGACTAAGCCATACCTGGCCGCCCACCCACCCATCTACAGGTGACATTCACCAAGCGGAAGTTCGGGCTGATGAAGAAGGCATACGAGCTGAGCGTGCTCTGTGACTGCGAGATTGCGCTCATCATCTTCAACCACTCCAACAAGCTGTTCCAGTACGCCAGCACGGACATGGACAAGGTGCTGCTCAAGTACACGGAGTACAACGAGCCGCATGAGAGCCGCACCAACGCCGACATCATCGAGGTGGGCCCACGCGCGCAGACCCCCCACACCCGCGCACACACACACGTACCCCGCCCCTGGGAGCCCCTCACCTGTGTGCATGCGTACACACATACCCCGCCCCTGGGAGCCCCTCACCTGTGTGCGCACACACACAAACCCACATCCTCTCACACAAACCCTGGGCCCGAGGGGGAAGGCGGGCAGCAAGGGGGCTGTCAGCTGGGGCTGCCCACTCAACCCACGCCCACCCAGCACTCTCTGAGCCATTTTCTTCACGTCTGTCAGGTAGAACATGACATCTCTGCTCTGTCTTCTCTCAGAGTCTCTCTCTTTTTCCTTCCTTCTCCGTCTTTTGATGTGCCCCGGCATCTGACTCTCCCTTTCTCTGTCTCGTTCTTTCATCTCCATCTCTCCTGCTCTGTCTTTGTCCCTTTGTGGGTCCCTGTGGCTCTGTTTGCTGTTTCAGAGCAAGCCGACCTGATGAACCGTTAAGGAACATGGGCTTTGGAATCCAGCTCTGGCCTTTACTGGCTGTGTGGCCTTGGGCAGGTGGTTTAGCTTCCCCAAGCCTTGGTGCCCACCCCCACGAAATGGGCCAGTGCCTGCTTTGAAGAGTGTTGTGAATCGAGTGAGACAGCCCAGTGTCTGCTTCTCACACTGGGGGTTCAGGACCTGTGCTGATGAAGAGGGTGCCTAGGAAGCCACAGGCCTGCCTTCCTGGAGCAAAACTTTATTTCAACAGATATGGAGGAAATTCCTTTATTTTTATATTAGAGAAAACAGGTTTACTCTAGACTAGGAAGTAAAATTGACATTCATTTCCAAGAGAAAACAAGCATCTGTGAAGGTGTGCTGAGCGTGCAGAGGGCAGCCTGGGGGTCTCCTCTGTACTGGGCGTGCCCGCCTGCCCTGCTTTGTGTGAATCATGAGGGAAGCGGGAGCCATGGGTCACAGACCGCGCACAAGCTGGGGCATGGTGGGAACTCAGTGAATGCAGAGGAAGATTTTGCCTTTCTCCCTCTTATTCTTCTCCCTTTCTGTCTCCCTCTACTTCTGTCTTCCCTTCTTCTTTTAAACAGAGCCCAGGAATGGAGTCAGGCAGTCAGCCCCAGAGCTGCCTTCTCCTGGGGAGCCCTGTGTGCCTTCTGGCCGGGGCTCACCTAAGGGTGCACAGGCACCCTGGTCCCTCAACCCACCCCCCAGAAATGCCCCGCCCCCCACCTCCTGGGAAGCACTCTCCACCACCAACCACAGTCACACAGTGCCCTTAGTGGGGGGTCACCCTGGGGGCGGGGGGCTGGGAACCCTGAGGTGAACAGACAGTAGGGGAGTCTTAGGGAGGGGCCGGAAGGAGCGCCGGAGGGCGGGCAGGGGAGGACCCTGGCCCCTGCTGATGGTAGTGGTGCGGTTACAGACCCTGAGGAAGAAGGGCTTCAACGGCTGCGACAGCCCGGAGCCCGACGGGGAGGACTCGCTGGAACAGAGCCCCCTGCTGGAGGACAAGTACCGGCGCGCCAGCGAGGAGCTGGACGGGCTCTTCCGGCGCTATGGGGTGAGCCCCACTCACTCTCTCTCTGTTGGCCCCCCCTCCCGGCCCCTTCCCCCCAGGCGCTGCACAAGAAGCACAGGGAATGTGAGAGCCCTGAGGTGGACGAGGTGTTTGCCCTGACCCCCCAGACGGAGGAGAAATATAAAAAGATAGACGAGGAATTTGATAAAATGATGCAGAGTTATAGACTGGCCGTGAGTAATCGCATGGAGGAGAGCCTCCCTGTGGTGCATGGTGTGGCTTTGCGCCCCGCCCCGGCCCTCGGCTGCCTCTGGTGGATGTCCTGCTCTGAGCCGTGTGGGGCTGCTGGTGACCACTGAGGACCCTCTGACCTTGGTTGTGTTAAACTCGTGACCCTTGTCATGGAGCATAAATTGGGAGAGGCCTGGAGTGTCCCCCTCACCAGCAGGAAGTGTGTAGATGGCCTGAGATCCTTAGATGACTAGAGAGTAGAGAATGTGCTCTTTGTCCAGATCTGTTTGGGGAGAGGCCCCTCTCAGCCTGCTCTGACACCCCAGCCCAAGATACTCAGTCGCACTGTTGAGGGGAGGCAGAGACTGCTGAAGGGGAAGAAGGTGAGGTGGGTGAACACCCTCTGTAGCAGGTGGACGGATGAGAGCTGACTATGAGGTGACGTCCCTATCCACGCGCTCGTCCTTGACAGCTCTGTGTGTGAGTTGGGGTCTATACTCAGGGCCTCTAACCTGCTCTCCGTGTGTCCTGCCTGGCTGAGGACTAACCCACCTCCACTAGGGGGGTTCTAGGTGTCCCGGGTCCATCTGCAGTGAGCAGAGTCTTCTTCTTATTCTCTGGGCCAGAACTGGATCCCAAAGCTCTCCAGCCTGCGTACTTCCTTGGTGGGAGGGGCAGGCATGATTCCAGGGGGGCCCAGAGCAGAGAGATCGAGCTGCTGCTGGCCATAGGACACACAGCCCAGAGACTATAGAGGAACCCCGGCCTGCCCTCCCAGGCAGAGTGGGCCCAGGCTAAAGGGGGTCACCCTGGCCTGACCCTGCCTCTCCATCTTCTGTCTAGTCAGCTGTCCCGGCCCCCAACTTTGCCATGCCCGTCACGGTGCCCGTGTCCAATCAGAGCTCCCTGCAGTTCAGCAACCCCAGCGGCTCCCTGGTCACCCCTTCCCTGGTGACGTCATCCCTCACGGACCCACGGCTCCTGTCCCCCCAGCAGCCAGCACTACAGAGGAACAGCGTGTCTCCCGGCCTGCCGCAGCGGCCAGCCAGTGCAGGTGAGTGGTCCGATGGCGGGCAGGAGAGGTGGCGGTGAGGTGTGGTGAGGATGTGGGGACTCCATTTTCTGCGGTGACCGTCCCACGCCCCCCACCGCAGCACTCTACCATGTACGTGGCTCCTGAGGGAAGGGACTGCGGCTCCACTCCCTGTTCAGTTCCCAGGACGCACCCTGGAAGGGGGCATCCTGTCAACTCATGGTTCTTTTTCCTCCAGGGGCCATGCTGGGGGGAGACCTCAGCAGTGCTAACGGAGCCTGCCCCAGCCCTGTCGGTGAGTAAAGCCGCTCTTCTGTCTAGGGGTGGGCCAGAGTCTGCCTGCTCAGTGGCTTCAGGTGTCCAGGGACCAGGAGGGGCCTAGGTCAGAGGAGAGAAAGATCCCAGGACCTGAGTTGGTTGTATACAGAGTCTGAGGTCTTTTAAGCCCCTGGATTTTTTTTGTCTGTAGCAGTGATTGGTGCGGATGATCAACAAAGATGTAGGCTTAGGGATTTCTGGGCAAACTGAGAACTCACCGACGTTTTCAGCTGGAGGAGAGATTCCAGAGTTTTCCAGTTGAGTTAGGGGTGTCTGGTTGGGGTCTGGAGGATCTGAATATCTGACGTTGCCGACAATAGAGGCATGGACTCACATACACTCTCACACACAGACATTCTCACTCTTACGGGAATATCCAGACAATAGGTGTGCACTTGTGAGCACACATCTATGAACCACAGAAGAAAGACTGCTCCCTCCATGTCCCCCCCCACTCTTCCCCCGCAAAGAAAGGGCCAGAGAAATGTCTGCAGACCTAAAGGGAACAGTGATCCTTATAGACCCTCAAGCACAGCACTAGAAAGTGGTTTTGTGGCTCCGGACATATCACACCTCTGCCAAGCGGGCTTTGTTTCTGCCTCTGTAAATTTGGCTAATGATACATGTCCTGTCTGTCTTGCAGGGTTAGTGTGAGGATTAAATATGCTAAGATGTATGTGAAGGCCCTGTGTTGGTTATGGAGTGTGGAACAAGTATAAAAGATGGTTATTCTGCTTGTTATTACCAGTCTAATTACGGGGGCAGCTATGTCACCAGCCGGCTAGTTCCAGTAACACCACCATGACAAATTCATGGTGTGTCTTTCCTTGCATTCCCAGCTCAAGGCAAGGGGAGCAGTCTGAGTATTGATTTGATCTTGTGACCAGGATCCTCACTGAGTCTTAGCTTTCAGGCTGCCACCCTTGTACAACCTGTGTCCTTATGGGCCCGGCTGGGGGCAAGTGCTGGACTTCTGCCATCAGTGACCAGCGCCTACCACCCAGCCCCATCACATGTAGCTTGGAGGCATGGGGATGAACCTGATGATTGAGGAGTAAGGGGTGTTCTCCCCCTATTGCCAAGACAAGGTGGTTTTAGGGGAAAATTGGAGAACTCAGCCCCTACTCAAAACCTGAGCATGATTCTGAGAAGTTCTGGGTAACAGGCCTTCTGGCTCAGTTAATAAGGATAAGTGGTAGGTCCATGTTTTTCCTTTTGCCCCTTTCTCTTCACCTCTCCAGGGAACGGCTATGTCAGTGCTCGGGCTTCCCCTGGCCTCCTCCCCGTGGCCAACGGCAACAGCCTAAACAAGGTCATCCCCGCCAAGTCTCCACCCCCACCCACCCACAGCGCCCAGCTTGGAGCCCCCAGCCGCAAGCCTGACCTGAGGGTCATCACTTCCCAGGGAGGAAAGGGGTTAATGCATCACTTGGTGAGTGGGGTGTTTGAACCAAGGGGCAGGGGCTGAGGAATGGAGAGTGGGGAGGGAGGACAGAGCTGACCTCCAGCAGAAGAGATGAAAGGTAAACAGCAGGCAGGACCCCCCGAGAGGATGTGGAATCGTGGCTGTTCATGAGCTCTTCCTCCCGAAGGCCCTACGAGAGGTTGGGACACAGAGTTACCAGCCGCACGGGGTGAGACAGGCACAAGGTGGGAGAGAGGCTCCCTGATGGTAACAGGAGGGTGAGAGGCAGACTTGCCGTTGCAGCAGAGGGATGCGGGTTAGCCTGTGAGGATTTCCTCACTGGTGGGCTCTGGGATGTAGCATCTTCCGAGACCAGTCAGGACGGTGAAGACCTCTGTCATTCTGGGCCAGAGAGGTAGATGGGATGGCTGTGGGGGCAGGGCTGTGAGGGAAGGGCAGAGGACAGAGACTGAACCATCCCCTTGGTTTTATTTCTGCTCCCAGACTGAGGACCATTTAGATCTGGTAAGTGAGGCGGGGAGATGTCTGCTGCGGCTTTGAGGGCCCACTCATTGCTCTGCGCCCCCCCCGCATGGAGTGTGTGTGTGCCTTTGTCCTTTCACCTGTGTGTATGCGCCTGTTGATTGGTTATCTGCCAGGAGTTGTGCTCAGTGCCAGATGGGATACAGAAGTGAATGGGGTGGGGGCAAGGGGTTACACATGCACGTGTGGGTACCTGAATGTCTGTGGCCGTCTTCATGTGATGTTGCGTTCGTGCAGACTCACCTCTCTGCGTGTGTGTGCACATGGGCGCGAGAGGGGAGTGGGCCTGCCCCAGGCCTCAGAAGTCCCATCTTGTTGTGTCCCAGAATGCCTGCATTAGGCCCCTGCCCTCTGACTACTCAGGCCCACCCCGGATAGGGCCCTCCAGTGGAGTGCCAGCCAGACAGGAAAGTCGGCTTTCTAGGGGAAGCTGAGGCCAGGCAAGGCCAGAGTTGTCCTTGGTTGTGGGCTTCCCTGCATCCCCATCTCTGTGCTTCTTCCTGCATACAGCCCGTCTTACAGGCACTCAGAGGTGCACACAGCCACTGTCTCTCTCTCACACATGTACGCACTTACATACTCACCCTCAGCCAGAGTGGGGCGGGGGCTCCTCCCTCCCCAGTTCCCTGACGGGAGGCCAGAGAGGCTGGAAAAGGCAGGCAGGCTTTGGCGGCCAACACGGCGGCAGTTTCGGCCCCAGTGTGGAGTTGGAATAAACAAGTGACTCAGCAGCAGATGGAGCTGACAGCCCCACACACGTGTGTGCGTACACGCAGGCACACGCCACGCCAGGCCCCGCATTCCCTTCACACATGCCAGCATGCTTCTAGCAGGTTGTGTGCTGCAGCGTGACGGACGGAGGACCAGCCAGGAGAGCAGTGGAGATGGGGCCTGGCGGGCGTTGGGGCCACAGGGCCGGCATGTGTAGGTGGGAATGCATCTGTGTGCGCATGTTTCTCTCCGTGGATTTCAGCGTCTCTGTGTGCAGCCTTGTGTGTGTGTATCTCTGGGGCCTCCATGTTGAGGCATCCCACCTGGGCCTTGAGTTGCCCAGCTGGGCTTTGGAATGGGGGGCCTGAATAAAGCAGCCCACCCATCTGCCATCTCTGACAGACTGTTTTCTCCTGCAGAACAATGCCCAGCGCCTCGGGGTCTCCCAGTCTACGCACTCGCTCACCACCCCAGTGGTTTCCGTGGCAACACCGAGTTTACTCAGCCAGGGCCTCCCCTTCTCTTCCATGCCCACTGCCTACAATACAGGTGAGTGTTCATGTTACATGTAGCTTGGTGCAGTTGGCCTTGGGGTAGGGGTGGGACCACAGGGGGAACACAGCGTATTCTCTGGGGGCTGCCCCAATCTGAGGAAGGCCGTTGATTTGGGGGAGCCCCCAGAAAGTCGCACCCCATTCCAGTATTCTTGCCTGGAAAATCCCATGGACAGAGGAGCCTGGTGGGCTATATAGCCCCTGGCATCGCAGAGTCGGACATGAATGAGCACACACACATGCAAAGTGCACCACCTAATTAAGGTTGCCAGATTTAGCAAATAGCAACATCAGATGCCATTCACATGGTGATGGTGTTCCTGGAACTGTCTCCAAGACATACTTACAGAAAAATCACTCATTGTTTCATCTGAAAAATCAAATCTATGTGAGTGTCCCTTATTTTTACATAGGACCTGATGGAGGAGAGCCCTGTCCTTGGGCAGCTCCTGTCTGAGGTGGGCTGAGCAGCTGGGTGACTCAGGCTGACCAGGTCAGGGAGTGGGGAGGGAAGCATGTCCAGTTCCGGGAGGAGGAGGATGAAGAAATTAGAGAGAGGGAGGGGGTGAAGGCCCGAGAGGAAACATGGTTAGGAAGATGTATCCAGCTTCCTGGGAAAGCCAACTAGGGACTCCAGGGCAAGGTGGAGGAGCAAGAAGTGGGCTCTGAGCCTGATGTTGGCTTGGTGGAATGATGACAGGGGAAGGGAGGAGGAAGTCTGATGAAGGTGGGGGAGGGGGTCTGAAGGTGACTTGTCACTTGGTGACATGAGAGAGGTCTCTGGGTAGAAGAATTCAGAAAGGACACCCAGTGCTTAGACTGTCTTGGGTCCTCAGGGCTGTCCTGGGCTCTGTCACCCACTCACACCCTCCCAGGAACAGTCTGTGACGGAACATCCTCGCCTGCATTCCAAGCTGCTGTGTCAGGAAGGACTTGCCAGTGCAGAAATGCCTTGTCACCTTGCTTCAGAGCATCTGTGTGGCTGGGACCCTGGTCTGTTTGTCTCACTGAGGCAAGCCTCTCATGTTCCCCAGCTTCTCTCAGCTGTGAGTGACTTGCATCAGGGCTATACTGCAGTAAAATCAGACTAGACCAAAGACCACTAAACTTCTCCCCACTCTCCAGGCCCCCATTCCAGAGTTGAATCATGCTAGGTAGGTCCCAGACACCAGTGCAGAGAGCCACAGCATCCCACCTCTTCCCTGTGTGTGAAAGTCCAGAGCCCAGCCCTGTGTGCAGGAAAGGCCCTTAGGGCAGGTGACGAGCTGGAGGGACCCTGGCATGCGTGTTAGGCTCCAGGGTTTATCACCTGGGTGTCTGTGAAGGCTTGTCCCTTGTATGTGCTCCTGTGTGTGCACGCACTCCTACGTTAACGTGTTCTTGGGCAGCTTTAGAGAGGACTGCTTCAGATGGCTGCACCCTTGGAGGCCAGTAGGAGTTCTCACCAGTGAGTTGTGGGTGGACAGGAGTCTCTGAGGCCCTTTTAGCCTTGGCAGCCGGGGTGGTTGTTAGAGGGCAGCGCTCAGGAGCTGCTGTTTACTGAAGAATCGCATGGTGGTGGTGTCCTGCCGTCTTCTCAGGTCCTTCACCAGTCTCTGTGCAGCAGAAGGGAGCTTAGTCGGTGTCCGTGAACCTGGGACAGACACTCAGCAAAGCCAGACTTTAGACTCTATTTGTCAGTCTGGTGAGAAAGCAGATTCTGACCCTGGGCTGCCCTCGGAGCCCTGCTGGGAAGTGTTTGGGCTTTCTCACATCCTCCCGAAAACCAGGGGCTCCAGTTCCTCCTGCTGCAGGAGTAGTTAAGTAGATCTCAGTTTAAACAGCAGGTGTTTTCAGGTGACGCTCTGTATATAAACAGAACCCCAGTGAACACACTGCTGTTTACCTGTTCACTGTTTACAGTCCCTGGCCCCAGGCCAAACTCCCAACTGGGGGTGATCTGCCCCTGGTAGTATCACGGGTAAGCGACAGGCTGGCCGCTTGCTGACGCTGGCTGCAGAGGTCTGGTTGTGGCCCTTGTAGGAGCAAGCCAAGGGGCCAGGTGGGGAGTCAGGTCTGGGGGTAACAGGGCAGCAGTGTGGTGGGAGAGTACAGGACCGGGTGTGGCGCCTCCCATTCACTGGCTGGGAGCCTCGGGCAAGGCACCGCGCTCCTCATAGTTGGTCTCCTTGTTTCTGAAATGAGTGTTGTAAAGAGTTGGTCCTCCAGGCTCCTATCTGCCCTTCGTCTGCCTTTTAAATTTAAGTGTCTCAACACTCCTGGCTAACATTAAGACCAGAGGCAAGCATGGAGCGTCTATAGAGTGAGATTTAAAGATAATAAAGAAGCCTGGGGTCTCATCTGAGCTCTGCACTGTGACCTTGGGAAAGTTCCTCAAACTTGGAGGCTGCAGTTGCCTCATTGGTGAATGAATAATAACAGCAGGTAAATCTTGTGAATATTTACTATGTGCCAGACACTGTTCTCTAAGCTTCATATGCATTAACTCGCTCAGTCCCCAAAGCAGCTGTGTGAGGCAGGCAGGTTTATTGCCTCCACTTTACAGACAGAGTCAGTTCACCGAAGTCACGTGGCCTGTACATGGAGGTGGCCAGGAAGTTTGACCCCATGGCTCGCATCCTGCTCCTCTCTGCTCCATTGCACAGATAGTCCTGTCTTCCCTGCTCCCGAGGGCTGGAGCAAACAGCCTTCAAGTGGTGTGGCAGGGGACCGGCTGGTCGGTACGTCCTCCTCATCAGCCACAGTGCCTTCGGCCCTGTTCCTCAGGGAAGACGTTTTCTCAACAGTCCCAAACAGGCTGCGGCATGAAATACAGCAGGGCTGTGTAAATTGTGAAACATTTCACGGTTCTGTTTGTTCTGTGACAGTGCAAACATCACAGTTTTTTCACTGAGACAGGCATTTTGGAAAACAAGACGGGCCACCTCATGGGGAAATCCACCAGACCCCAAGCGGCTGTCCCGCAGGCCTGTTTCCTCATGGCCCTCCTGGGCAGCAGAGGTGCATCCTCTTGAGTTTGTGGGCGCAGCAGCTGGAGCCCTTGCTGCCACCTGTTCTGTGTGTTGGGGGTGAGGAATGGTGGTTATAGTCATTCATTTCAGATGTGCCATTCACCTGGCCTTTCCCTTGACTCCCCCCTGTCCCAGAAAGGCACTTGGAACTTGGCAGTCAAAGAGATGACAGTTAGGCATATATTAGACTTTCCCTACCTACCTTTTTCCCCTTCTTTTTTAAAATTGGCATTCTAAAAGTGATACCTACACATGGCTGGAAAAGAAAAAAGTTCAACGCTTGTTTTAAAAAACCACCTCTCTTTTACATCCTGTTAAAAAGCAGCACCTTGTGGTTAAGATTGGTGTTTCTTTGAGTGCTGTCTTCACTGAGTTCAGATGGGCTGATTTAATTATTCTCAGCTGTCATTAACAACTCCCCCCACCTTGATAGAACTCCTGGAGGCGGCTCCCAGGGCATGGGAGCCTCTGTCTTTCCCACATGGGAGACTCCCCCTCACTTTCCTCCCTCACCCTGTGCAGATTACCAGCTGACCAGCGCAGAGCTCTCCTCCTTACCAGCCTTCAGCTCACCTGGGGGGCTGTCGCTCAGCAACGTCACTGCCTGGCAGCAGCCGCCGCAGCCACCCCAGCCGCAGCCTCCGCAGCAGCCGCAGCCCCAGCCGCCCCAGCCACCCCAGCAGCCACAACAGCCACCTCAGCAGCAGCCCCACCTGGTCCCCGTGTCTCTCAGCAACCTAATGTGAGTCCTGAGGGCCGCCCTGCCGGCGTCTGTGGCAGGAGAGTGACGGGCGGGAAGAGGAGAGGCCTTCAGAGACCTGAGATCCCTTCAGGGTTGTTGTCAGTGGACAGCATGGGAGCCACTAAGGTGGCAGCCCTGGCATCCCTGGTGTAGGCCTGGGAGACCCACCTGAGCCTTGCCCCAGCCAGCCCGGGGGTGGGGGGACCCCCCAGGCTGCCGAAGATGACGTGGATTAGAAAGAAAACTAATGCGATTTATCTTCCTTCTTTTCCCTTCTCGCCCCCGCCCCTGCCCCGCCCTTCTGGTCTCTTTGTCTCCATCCACCTGTCCCCACCCTAACCCCACCTCCCATCTTCTCATTCTCTGTCCTTTCTCTGTCTTGTGGCCCTCCTCACTCTTCCTGTCACTCACGTCCTCTCTTCTATCCCCTGAACTTCATGCCCATTGCCGCTCTCCAGCCCGGGCAGCCCCTTGCCCCACGTGGGTGCCGCCCTCACAGTCACCACCCACCCCCACATCAGCATCAAGTCGGAACCAGTGTCCCCCAGCCGTGAGCGCAGCCCTGCGCCTCCCCCTCCAGCTGTGTTTCCGGCTACCCGCCCTGAGCCTGGCGACGGTCTCAGCAGCCCGGCTGGGGGCTCCTACGAGACGGGGGACCGGGATGATGGACGGGGGGACTTCGGGCCCACACTGGGCCTGCTGCGCCCAGCCCCAGAGCCTGAGGCTGAGGGCTCAGCTGTGAAGAGGATGCGACTCGACACCTGGGTACTGTAGCGTCGCCCCTGCTGTCTGCCGTTGTCTGCTCCACCAGGGACTGCCCCATCAGCACCCCCAGCCTGTCTCGTCTCCCACCCACGAGGCCATGTGGCCAGCTAGCCCTTCCGTCTTCAGCCCTTACGGGGCAGGACCGGCACCCCTTTTCCCCCCGCCAGAGGCCCATCTCCCCGCCCTCCAGCATCAGTCCTTCTGCTTGATGACTTCCCCCTCAGAGCTGGCCTTGCCACCAGAGTCCTGGCCCTACTGGGAGAGGGGCGTGGGGGGCACAGAGCCCATAGCCTGGGCCACGCCCTCACACCCCCTTCTCCATCTCCTCTCTTCACAGACATTAAAGTGACGATCCCCACTCCCCTCCTCTCCGCCTCCCTGATGAAGAGTTGACAATCTCACCGCCCACCCCTCCCTGTCCTGGGCTCCTCCTGCTCGACCCCCCACTTCCTTTCTTGTGCTCCGTGTCCTGTTGACGGTTACATTTGTGTATAATTATTATATTATTATTATTATTATTATATTTTTTTTAATTTGGATTCTCGCTTTGGAGAGGGGGATGCGCCCATCCTCTCTTTCTGCACCCCCCGCCATTTTCACTGGCTGGGAGGGGCTCTTTTTTGCGGGAAGGGGGGGACACTTTGCACGTTGTACACATATGCTGCAGGAGGGGTGGGGGGCCCGATAGGCCTTGGGAAAGGACAGGCGCCGAGCCCTGCATGCGGAGCCCTCCCACCCCCTCCCCCAGATAGAGGGAAATAACCAAAAAAACTACCAAACAACAGAAACCCCTTACAATAGACTGAGACCCCAAAGTCGACTCAATGAGTGGTTTTGTGTTTTAGGGGGAAAGTGAGGCAGAGGTTCTGAAAAGAGTCTCTGCTTCCGGGCTGTTCTTGTGGCCACAGGCACGTGGGGCAGAATACCCAGGCCTGGGCCCCAACGCCCCTGTGCACGCGCACACACTTTCCCATCCTCATGTGAGCTGCACCTCCAAGGTGTGGAGGTGCTGGCCGAGCGAGCACCGGGGCTGGAAGGCTGCCTGGGGATCGGGGCTGTCGGGGCGGGGTCTGAGGTGGGGCCCCCTGTGAAGCACAGTAGGAGAGAGACAGAGCCATGAGCAGAGGGCTGAGGAGGGCCTAGGGCTGGGGCAGGGGGTGAGTTGGGCCCCCTCCCTTCCCCAGCGTTTTCTCTAAGATATACAGTGCAATAGCTCCCCGTCCCTCAGCTGACACCAGCCCAGCAAAGCTGGCCATGAAGTGCAGGGAGAACCGAACCGGGAGAGGGAGGTGGCTCAGCAGGAGACACCTCCGGTACCCTGGGGTGTCTAAGGACCGCAACCCCTTGCATCCAGGGACTAGTGTGAGTGAGGGGACTCTCTCTTCCTTGCACGTACACATCCCCAGAGGAGTGGACATGGGCGTGGTGTGTGAGGGTGGGAGCGGGAACAGAGGAGGTCCGAAGGCCTGCCTCCCTTCTTCCCTCCTTGCCCCCCTCCTGCCCTCCTCCAGCTCCTTCCGCTCCTGACCCCCCCTCCCTGCTCTTGGCGCCCTCATTGTCTCGCTACCTCCTGCCCCACCACCCCCAGGCCGCATCCCACCTTCCCTCTTGGCTACTGTAATTGTAAATAGCAACCTTTGGAAAACGTTAGCAGTGTAACAGTCCAGGAAACTGTTTTTTTGTTGTTGTTGTATTGATATGAAATGAGATTCTATTTTTGTCAAAGTATATTGTAATAATAATGACTCAAACGGCCCGTACTGTACAGACGAGATTCTTCTGCTGTTGTTCTTGCTCCCCTCCCCTCCCCCCAAGTCCACCCTCTCTGCTGCCTCCCCAGTGGGGGCAGCCAAAGCGTGGGGTCCAGGGACCTCAGGCTGGAAAACAGATCAAACTGGAGGGGGCAGGCCACCGGCCTGCAACCCACCACCGCCCCCTGCCTTCCAGGGCCTGGCCTGGGTGACGTGGCAGGCAGACAGAAGCCCAGCTCTGCCCAAGGGGTGCAGAAGGTAGAGTTAGGCAAGGCCCGGCTGGTTTTGTGGCAGGTGAGTCTCTGCCTGCCTCTGCGATCCAGCCGCTTGCAGTATTCCAACGCTTGGAGCAGGGAAGGAAACAGAAGTGGAGGGGTTCGTGTGACCGCACAGGTACCTGAGCGTGTTTATGAGGGCACCTGGCATTTACGTGTCTGAGTGTACCCTTGTATTTATGTGTGTGTGTATGATTGCATGGGTGTTCCTTTGTGTCTCTGAGCCCGTCTGGGCATGTATGTGAATCTCCGTGTGAATTGAGCTCTGAGGGCGCACGCGCGTGCCTGTGTTTGTGTATGTGCACGTGTGTGCCTGAGTGTGTGTTTACAGAGGGACAGATGGCTCTTGCAGCCATACAGCCCTGGCTTCCTGCTCTGTGACCCTCCTTTCTGAGCCCCACTCTCTTTTCTCTGCTCCATCACCTGTTCCTACCCTCAACTCTAATGTTTATACTTCAGTTCAGGGGGATCTGGCATTGGCCCTCTTCGCCTCTCCCTGTAGCCCTACCTCTCCTGCAGCTCCACGCACAATTGTCCACCCAGTGCCCACACCTTTATGCACAGGTCCCTCTCCTGGAGTTCTCGCTTCCCCCCACCCCCATCCTGCTTTTAGGATGACGCTCAAATTCTTCCTCTCTGAAGCTTTTTCCTTGCTGGGGCAGTCATTCTTCTTTATAGCTTACCTGCCCCCTGAACACCTGCCAGTTGGGCACACACAGCATGCCCAGTTTTCTGCAGGTTCCTAGAGGGACTGTCAGGAATAGATGAGACTTGATCAGGACCCTGAAAGAAGCCAGGGTGTAGCGCATGCATGTGTGCGTCCACAGAGCCTTGCCCAGCGCCTGGCACGCAGCCAGCGCTCAGTAAATGCTGAGTGGGTGAAAGGTGAATGATAGGTGCTCAATAAACGTTGAATGGCTGGCCTTCCCTTCTCAGGCTATTCCCGCCACCAGTCCACCCACCTTTCTAGGCTGGGCTTGGCCACTGTTAGACATGGGATGGGGGTGAGGGCCCCTGCAGTTCACGGTGCAATATTCACCAGTTTTGCCCTCTGCCTTGTAATGGCAAACCTGGCTTTTGATTACCATGTGTGGATGTGTATGTGTCCTTTTCTTTCTATTCCTGGGGGCAGGAGCTGATCTGATTGAATATGTGACATTTCTGCAAGTCAGTATCCCAAAGTTTCTCTTGGGGGTAGCGGGCTCCTGGCCAGCCCAATGAGCTGGTCCTGAGAACCCAGATCTCAAGTAGAGACTTCATTTCTTCTTCCTCTCACAAGCCAAATTTGCCTCCACCCACTCCTTCCTCCAAAGATCTGGGCACTTGCCAAAGTAATCACTGGAGTCATCCATTGCCCCTCCACTCCCCAGGTTTCCCACAGCTTTCAGGGATAGTGGGCAAGAGGACCCCCCCCTTCAACACACACACACCCCACAATGGAACACACCATTTCTCCCCCCGCCCCCCGCAGTGCACTCAATGCAGCGAGACTGACCCCTGACCTTTATCCAGCCCTTCCCACCTTGAACAGGAAGGAAGTAATGCACCTTCTCTTGCTGATTATTTATTTGTTTGGAGAGACAGAAATGATGTAAAAGTGTATCTAGAAATATCTATATCTATATATTTTTAACTGACTCTTTGGAATCCCCTGGGGTGGGGTGGGGGGTGCAGTTAGGCTTTCATGGAGGAGAGGCGACATGGAGCCTGGGAACGCCTCATCTCCCGTCTTACCACCTCTCTCCATCCCCTAAGCAGTTGGTAGAAGGAATGGGATTTGTATGGGGGGAGGAGGGGCTGGAATGTTATATGGAGAATCTGGATTCTCTCTGTCTTCCCCACTCAAGTTCCAGAGGGAAGGCAGGGAGGCAGAGGGAGGGGGAGACAGGCCATGGAGGTGCCCCACCCCCAAACCCGACAATCACCCACACTCCTGGGGCTCCTCCTGGGTCCTGGGCAGGGCGAGTCCAAGTGTGTGGCTGTTGATTTGTTTTCAATATTTCTTTTCGTGCTGTATGGTGATGCTTTCTTAGTATTCTACACAATAAGAAAAGACAAAGTCCTCGAGATTCTTATGAGTTTTGTTTGAAAACTCTTTCACTATATTTGTTGTAAAGAGGTTTACTATTAAAAGAAAAAGAATACACGTTTCTGATACTTCGGCCTGGGTTCTGGTTTCTTTGGTGCGGTCGGCTGAGGAGGGGAAGGAAGGGCTGAGTGGCCCTGTCACGGTGAGAGAACATAGCTTCCCCTTGGCAGGAAAGAATGGTGGTTAGCCTGCCTGGTACTCAGCATATCTGAGGTGGGGGTTTCAGGTGAGAATTTCTTCCAGGTGCTCTGTCAGAAGCAGAGGCAGCCCAAGGACTAAGAAGGGTTGTCAGGTTAGAAGCAGGGAAGGGAAGAACAAGTACTGCTCAAGGCCAAGTCAGGAATGATTGGAGTGTGTGTGGTGGAGGAGTAGTGGGGTAGAGGACCTTCACCTACTGAAAATTCTTCCACAGGAGCAACTTACCTAGGCACTATGTTAGGCACAGATGGATTCCGCGTTCACAGCACCCACAGTTCCCTCCAGCAGGGGCCGCTGCTCCACCCCTTCCTTTTGAAGTGCTTTTAACAGTGAGGTGGAGCCTCTCTCTGCCCTCCTCACTACCCCAAAGGGTTTCCCCACCTGCCTGCCTTCCCCCCCCCCCAACCTGCCTTTCTGCAGAGGCTGGCAGCTCTTACTCTCACAGCCCCATGCCCTGCACAGCCAAGCGGTGGGGCAGATGCAGGGGCTGTGGAGGAGAGTGCATCTGCAGGGCTGTTGTTAAGTTACTAAGTCACTTGCCATCCCATGGACTGTGGCCCACCAGGCTCCTCTGTCCATGGGATTTCCCAGGCAAGAATACTGGAGTGGGTTGCCATTTCCTTCACCAGGGGATCTTTCCCACCCAGGGATTGAACCCACATCTCCTGCATTAGCAGGCAGGTTCTTTACCACCGAGCCACCAGGGAAGCCACAGGGAGGGCTTGGCTCACTACTAACAGGGTTTGGCCACTCCTCTGTACCAGGCTCACATTAGGTGCTGCAGAGGCAAAGATGGAGTATGAAGGGCTCATATACTGTGGTGGAGATGGGCCTGCAAATGCCTAAGATCCACAAACCGTCGTTTTCATGCTTTGGTTGCTGCAATTGCAGGCACCACAGAATGTTTTCATTCCTTGGGTTCCTCATCTGAAAACTACGGTGATCTGTACCAGTCCTACCTCCCTCTCAGGGTCATTACAGATTTTGCCTCTTCCTCAGCTGGGGCAGAGGTGAACAATGCTGAGCAGGAAAGGGATAAGAAGGTACTGTCTTTCAGATGAGGCTCCCCTGCTGGCTGGCTGTGACAAGAACAGCCTTGACCTAACACAAATCCTGAGCAAAGCTTTGTATATCCCATGTCTGTTCCTTAGGCTATTTGGCCTGCCCCATCTATAGTCACAGGCCCCTGATGTCCTGGGTGGGCATTACTGTTTCTCATGAATATCTCCTGTCCTCTTCCCTTCCTAGTCACTAGAAGACTGTTTCCCAGTCCCTGTGTAGTCAAGTGAAGTCATCAGACTAGTTCTGGCCAATGGATTACACTGAAAGTTATGTGTGTCACTTCCAAAAATCAAGCTGGTAGGTGATTCTCTGAGTACTCTTTGCCTATTGTGGGAACTGGGGAAACACATCAAAGCTGCCTGGATGGCTCAGCTGCCTTAAGGTGTTGTCCAGCACCACAGTGGACTTTTGCGTTAATCAAAAATAAGTGTTGTATTAAGCCACAGAGATTTTATTGCATCTGCCATATAACCTATCCTGTCCTGATTAGTGGAGTATCCCTTCACACTGGGACAGCCTTGAAGCCCCATCTACTGCATACCTGCTATGGTGTGGTGGTACAAAGATCTCTGGATGTGGCACAGCCCAGAACTAGTTCAGCTCCTAGTTCTGCTGCTTACCAGCTGAGTGACCTAGAGTAATCATCTTCCGCCCAAGTGACAGTGTCATAAACTGGAATACAGAGCTAACAGCTGCCTGTCTTCTCTAACCCCAGCCTTCATCTTCTCCAACCCATCCTACCAACTTTGGCACACCACCAATCATTCAACATCTCATGGCTCTCCACTGCCCACCAGATAAGTCCAAACTCCTGGGCAGGGCTCCCAGGGCCTTCAAAGAACTGACACAACCTCTTTTCCAGGATTAGTCCATGCGTCTCCACTGCACATACATCCCTTGGACTCTAGGCCAACCAGGCAGCGCAGTCCATTCCTTGACAGATCCTTTTGCGTGTTCCCTCACGCTATCCTTTGAAATGCAGCAAACACTTATTAAGCACCTGCTCGGTGTGAAACTCTTTGTTAGGTGCTCCTGCCTCTCAACTCAGTTATGTGGGGACAAGAGACAAGTGAACCAACAGTTAACTCTTGAGTCAGCAGGCTGTGTTAAATGGCATATAGGAAGGATGTAAGTGGGCTGTGGCATCAGAGGAGGCTTCCCACGGGAGGTATTTGAACTGGATTTTGAAGACATGTACAAATGAGGGCAGGGAAGGCATTCCCACCTGCAGGAATAGCATGTAAGTTATGGAGGGAGAATGGTGCATTCAGGAAATCAGATACTGTGGTATGGGTCAAAGTTATAGCAGATAAAGCTGAAGAGGGAGGCGGAAATCTTGTTTTGAAGGCCTTGATTGCCATAATTTGGATTTTATTCTGGAGATATTTGGTCATCAAAGGATTTTAAGGAGAGGAGGAACTTAATCAGATTTGCATCTTAGAAAGCCTCCTGGCAGTACCAGCGCTCCCTCTGACAGTAATGAAGAGGTAAGCTATTCATAGTGTTGGTCACCCGTGAAGCTGTCCTTGGGACATGGGAACTCCAAAGACCATGGAAGAAGACTGGAGGGTGGGGCAAGGAGACATTCATACAGGGCCTCAAGCAGCATAAGGGTTTGCATTGTATAGATCAGATGAACCAGAAATGTATTGCCTATCTGTGATCTCCTAACTTCACTCTAGGCCTGCTTGACTCACTAGTCTTTTTTTTTTTTTGTCCACATCACATCAGGATCTTAGTTCCCTGATCAGGGATTGAACCCATGCCCCCTGCAGTGGAAATGTGGAGTCTTAACCACTGGACCATCAGAGAAGTCCCTTGACTCACTTCTGCTACTCTTGAACAAGGGGAAGCTCACTGGTGTATTCTTCGGGGCATTGAAGTTAGGGAGGAGTGTTTTCCTGCTCGGGTAATTGCAGGGTCAGGTGTGGCAGACCCAGTGCAACCCTAGAGGTCATTGGTTTTCTTTTGATAAGAGAAGATGGCACTTCTTTCCTAGCTACCTAGTGGATGTTCAGAAGGAACTACCTGGATGGATGAAGCTAGGGCTCAGGACAAGAGCTAGGCCAGAGACAAGAGAAGCCCTGTGAGACATGAGCCTAAAAAGTAGCTTAACTTCTTCATGACTCAGTCACTTCATGTGTAAAATGGGTTGCTGTGAGATTTACATGAATATTACATATTAATCACTTAAGACCCATTCCTGATCCATAATAAGTGCTGTCAGTGTTATTATGTTTATTACTGCCACCTGTAAAGACATGAAAATAGATGAGCTTACTTGGGTAAGAAGTTTCTATAGAGGAAAAAAAAAAATCCTGCTCTACATCCTTATTTCTTTGAAAACTTTCCTATCATTCAAGCTTTTACTCCTACAATTTTCCCTCCATTAACCTTTTGCTGATTTCCCCCATCCTACCCAGCTGGCTATGATATCCTTGTCTTAGGAAGTGTCTTAGGAATCTGCCCCTTCTTTATAGCTCCTACCACATTCTACCTGAAACTGTAGGTAGTAGCCTCTATTTTCTCTCTACAGCTGGACTGAAAGTTCCTCTTAAAAATTCACTGCCTCACCCATTTTTGTGTCTGGCTCAGTGCCTGGCACAGAGTATGTGTTCAGTCAGACTAAAATGAGATAATGCATGTGAAAGTGCACTTCATAAAAACTATAGTGCTACCAACTACAAATAATTTTTTTTTTCCCCTAAAGGGCGTGGTGACTTTCTGCAGCTTCTCTACTTTCCAGCACCAGACCCAATGGGGCCAAGGAATGTAGACTCGTTTCTTCTAGTTATCACTCCACTTTAGAATGAGAACCCAGTGGGCTCCTACCCCAAAGAGGTGACTCTTGGGAGGTGGGAAGCAAAGGGTGGTATCTGTTCCAGCCAAGGAGGCCAAGCAGTTCCCTGTAGCTCATGTTCTTGTGACTCACCCCTCAGTCCCATGGGCTGAGTAACTTTTCCAGCCTTGTGATTGTGGAAACTTGTTACAGGAACAGCAAGCGGATGTGAAAGGGAGGTAAGGCGACCCCACCCCAGGCTCTGAAGCGGTTCCTAGCAAGCCCATAGAGATTGCTTGTTTCTGATTCCAAACTTAAAATCATTCGGTGTCACTGCCCGTCTAAGGGGCACGTCCAGTCCCCAGCTCTATTACACAGCTGGTAAGCCCTAGGCCCAAAATAAAAACACACACACATACACACACACAAATAAAACCCGGCTCTCAAGTTCTGTCCACAGCGCCTCACAGTTCCCAGGTGTAATTCGTTTGAGCCCAGGCTTTATATGGCTTCCAGCTGGCTTGATTTGCATTTACCCCCGCCCCCTTTGCTTTGTACTCGTTTCCACGTGTTTACAGCTCCTTGGCCTCACTCGGGCAGTTTGGCCTCTCGTAAAGTGAGGTCCCCGCCTTCGCAGCGTGGCTGCGCAGAGTCACTCCCATTTACTGCGCATCAGCCGCCACGTGCCCAATAAAAGCTGGTGACGACGCCGAGGACCCAAAAGGGAAGAGGAAGGGGAAGGACTCCGCCTACAGGGAGGTTACGCGCCCGCCAAACTCCCCGCCATCACGTGACCGCGGCGCCAGTCCTCACCGCCCTCAGCTGCGAGCGGAGGCTGGTCCCGGTGCCTAGGTGCCCAATCCCAGGGCTGCCAGCCAGTGCTGGGTGGGACCATGAAGTGATTCAGGATTCGGAAAGAGGAGAATCTCCATCTAAGGCGAAGGTGAAGAAGGGAGGAGCGAAGCAATAAAGGCACTTGTTTAACCTGTCCCACTGGGCTGTAAGTTCCAGGGGAGGCAACGATCGCCG